TCGACTTGCTTGTCTCTTCCTACGTTTCCCAGAACTGGTATGAACGGCACCGCTAGCGAACAATGCTCCCAGCCTGGGTAAAGCATCAGTGCTTTTGTGGAAGGGGCAGAGAGGGAGAAAAGGAGAGGTGGAGAAAAAGAGCAACACGTGCATTCTGCATGCGCATCGGCGATTGTGACATCACAGCTTGTGCTTGCGGGCAACTGCCACTTGCTGATAATTTATCAAAAGTACAGCCAATTGTTCTTGGAACAGTGGCATCTTCGGAATATAATTTCTGAGCTTTGTCAGTTTTCCCAGTTTTGTTCACTATTCGTTTGAGATTAGTGCAAAAGCAAAAAGAGAAGAATTAATAAAGGCAAAGAAGAAAAATGAATTTACAGTAATGGTGCAGACATGCGGCTTAGTATTATCTGCCCAAATTTCATCTGCTTGCTGCCCATAAGTAACAGATTTATAAGGCTTTTTGTGTATTGACAAGGTTATCTGGTTGTTAAAGGGACACTGAAGGCAAATATTGAGTCGACGTTGATTGTTGAAATAGCGGTCTAGAAACCTTGTAGTGCTATTTTTGTGCAAAATATTTTGAAATAAAATCACGTTTTAATGGTCCGCATTGCGTTAGCTCACCTTCATATCACCCGCGTGAAAGTGAGCTCCTAGACTTCACTGTTTCCATGCCCAATGTTGCCCCCCTTTACTCTACGGCCGCCAACACCAGTAGCAGCAGAGCAAAAGCAGCGGGAGCCAAAGTAGCAATAATAGCTATTGAACAATTTTCTGCAATATAGGAAGCTATTGTTCTACTTGCTTGGTTCTACTGAGCCCCATTGGGTGGCACAGTCTATCTAGCCTAACCAGCCGAAAACTGAACTTTTGACCACTTGTGGCATTTGCCTTAGTAACGCAGAAATGGACAAGCAGCATTTTGTATTACATCTTTTGATGCACAGAAAGTTCTTATTTTATTGCAGCTAATTTGATTACTTGTGATTAATTGTAGTTGGAACTCTCACACCATCGGGATCATTTCGCAAATGTCCCACGCATCGCCCACAGTTCTTTATTTTTTAAATTTTTTGTCTTCCACTTTTTTTTTGTTTGGATGGATGTGCCTTCATGATTTTTTTTTTTGTTTAGCAGGGATAGTCATTCTGTTTTTTAGGCAAGAAAAACTGTACTGTGTGCTAATTTTGTAAACTGGAAATTATCGTGGAGCAATGAAATCTGGCTTAGCTGGCAAAACCGAAGCTGATGCGACAAGCAGTGGATCTACCATTCACTTCGAAAATGCCCACAATAATGACACTGTTTCCCTCGCCGTTATCAAGTCAATCTAGATACTTCATTTTGGGGTAAGGGTTTCCTGCCGCATGTTCGCTTATCAACGCTCGGTTGTCCTCCTCCATAATGTGAGGGAAACGAACGTTACTAGAATAAACTCAGTTTCGAAGCTTCATATCTCCACCAGCGAAGGAGGATGGGCCAAACGGCGATCACGAGAACTAGCGGCGCTGCAGTCTGATCTTGCGTTACTTTTGGCGCATTGTCTGCTCTGGCCGCGTGCCGCGGCAGTTTGCTGCGCTGTTCCTCGTGCCGGCTTTTTTATTGTACTGTTATCGAACTTAACCATTCATCATGCGCTTCCAGTCGACATTTTCGCGTCACATTTGTGGACTAGACAGGGTCTCCTGTATAGATCTGACCGGATGTGTTGCTCATTGCAAGTTGGCTAAATATCGATGTCCTGCCTATATTTGCACTGTCTACATTCAGTTTAACCTCCAAGTAGGGTAAATTACGTGAATGAGCATTTTCAGCGTAAAAATTTTATGACTGCTGGAATTTTAACCAGTGTCATCTTGCCTAGACGAAAAACGGCTTAAAACATCTGTAAAAGCCTCAAAGAAGTTGACTTACTGAAATACAAAAATGCTCTATAGAAACAGTACTCATAATTTCTACTAGTTAAAAAAATAAAGCACTTTCTTCAAGGAACAGTTCCCGTGCTTCATACTGTTCCTCATACAAGTCTTTGTGGCAGCTACCAATCGAGAGCAAACTGCAAAATGTTACAGCAATTTCACCTCGTTTCTCGCATTTTCAACCTTTTCAGAAAGCTCCTGATTAGTTTTCTTGCAAAAAAAAAAAAAAAAAGAATATTCACGAACATTATTCTCACGTTTTTAGGATGAGTGGTATAACTCAAAAGATGCAGTGGTAGCCACTTTTCAAGCACAATTAAAGAAAGGGCGTCAACCAGGGGCGTTTTTGAGAAAAGCTTCTCGACAGTTTTCTCGGTTGCTTTTAATGTAGGAAACAGGCCGTGTAAGAGATCATCTAAGCAGCCTTCTTGAAAACATCTAATCTAAATGAGTGCACTTTCGTTTAGTTTGGGCGCGCATGCTCCAGGGGAACTTGTGCGAGATGCTCGAGGCCCTCTTTGCACGTTGTCACTTATTCAATTTTTTACAAAGATACCTGCAGATGCCGTACACTCATTGAGCGCTACTTCCTAGTGCATTTCGCTGCACCGAGAAGTCACACTGACGTGTGCCACCGTAACTTGCTCTAAGGTTCAGAAATGAGAACACTGCGATTGAGAAAAATATCTATCGCTTTTATAGGAAGGAACTGTAACGAAACCTTGTCACTGGCGAAACACCATCACTTACATACGCTTGTGTTGGTTAAAAATGGAAATATATATCAAAGCAAAAATATCCACTGCTTTTAAGGCAGTGAGATAGTTGGCAATTTATCGAATGTAAGTATTGACAGCGTTTCTCGTCCCGTGCCTTACATCCTGCTGTTCTATTTCAGGCGGCTCCTCCAAACTGGGCAATGAGCATTCGAGGGGCGCCATGCGTTTAGGGGGGGCGGGGGAATCGGCGCTTTGGCTATAAACATTTCGGCTTCAATATATGGGGTGGAATTGCTGGGAACAAACGCGGATGGGTACCGGGTGCGAGCTCCCACTTTCCACCTGAGATAAAAACTTCTTGTCCAGCAAGACATAATGGTAGTGCGTTACGATGCTGTTATTCTCACACTGAACGTCATAGATATTCCGTTTGGCAGTTAGATTTCTATCTTTGCGATGCAAAACTTGCTGCCATCTTCTTAATCGCGCCAAATTTCTTCGGAGGTCTGTCACGATCAACATTAATTGGTTTGTACCTCAATCAAGACTAAATAATGGCATGCAATTGATTCACTTTACTACGCCTGATTTAAAAGTTCTACTGTAGTACCATATGATCTTAAATTGTTTCGATTGTCTGGTCACTCTCCTGGTTTAGTTTTGTTGGAGGTTAAAACTACCTTTCATTGTGTGCTTTGATCATGCTCTCAAATTAAGTTGTAGGATAAACGACTGTCTCTTCACCTCTACTTATATTTATAATTTTTATGTGTTGTGTAATATTTGAACATGACAGCTTTAACGAGCTCGTTTCACATAAATATTGGTGTTTGGCGTCGTCGTCAGCTTCTCCGGTTGTGAGTAAAAAGACATCATCTTGTTGGTAACGAAAAAAAAATCGAGAAACCTGCCAATCTTTATTACGAGTAAGAATCTTTAACAAATCTTTATTACGAGTGAGAATCGATCTCGGGCTCTCTGCGTGGCAATCAGGTGTTATACCTGAGAAAACGCCAATGGTCGAAATTGACACGAAAAAAAAAATATGAATTTCATGTAGGCGAAGTTCTCATTATTATTGTGTCCAGCCTAAAAAGCGAGGCCTTATGTTTGTACTTTCCTTCTTTTGTTCATGTAGTAAAAAGAATTTCTTCAATCCACGCAATATTGAGTGGTAGAAGCGTAGAAACGCGTCAGGCGTCTAAACATGTGAAATGCACGACGAGTGGGTGTTAGAAAGGCCTGAACCATTACAGGGTGCTCCAACTGATGTTCGCGTGTTGCTTTACGCACACGTAAAGGCCCCTTTGCTGATTCACGAGAGGAACAATTATGGCGCAGTGGGAACTTCACAACTGTACTTGCAGTAGACATTACGATAATTTGAAACGGCCAGTGTTGCAAGCACAGTCGTTCGCTCCCTCACGGCACAGTTTAGGCCTACACCGAGACCGAAGCTAGGCTAGTAATTGAGAAGGTCACTCACAAAGGGCCCAGTTACACTATTGCGGTCTGCTCTTGGAGGCGAAGCTCAAGCATCCTCCGATTTTTGTAATTGTTGTGTTTGTAACTGTTGTGTAATTGTTGTCACACAATATACATAATAATCAACGATGTCACCTCTGCCATATCCACCAATTGCTACTGCATGTAATGGTAATAATAGAAGTATAATTTTTAATTGCACTATCATATAAAATTTCTCAGGCAATGTGCACGGCTGGACAGCAAATTTGCTTACGATCGTTCGTCTGCTAGCCCGTCACCGCTGGGCGAAAGAGATTGAAGGCTACATATATGAGGTTCTCAAACTACAAGGTAGTGGAAGCCTCAAATCAGGAGGGGGGACAAGGACCATTGCACAGTCCAACCATAATAGCAAAGACAACAACAAAAAAAAAAATCAGTAATAGTTTTCATTGAATATACTGCTTAAGATGGACATACGCAACACCTGGCGAGAACTAGCTGAGGCAAATAAAGCTGTAAAAAATTAACGCAACTGAAGCTCCTACCTATCTGCAGATTGTTACTCCAGTGGCTGAGTGGAAATTTAAAATCAGAACAGCTTGCTCGGAATTTTTCTGTAGTCATGGATGGAGGTGGTTGGCCACTGTGCTTCAGTCACGTCTTGAGCTGCATGCGACGATAGAGTTGCACAGCGTCTTTACCCAGAATACCGTTCTGGAAATAAATACTTATTTATCATCATCACCATCATCATAATAGTGCCATATTATTTAAACATTCTTGTAGCATCGTCCCCATAAAAAAGCAAATTGGTCGCTGACACTTTACTTTGCATAAAAAGACGAAATAAGTTTTGCTGTAAGAGTGATTTGCGGACTTCATGCAGGTCACGAGATGAGCTTTGCCATGTTCTTGTGCTGCCTGTTCAAAGTGGGAGCCTTGACTGAGGCAGACTCTGCTGCGGTCGTTTTATGTGTGTTCCAGAGGTATGTGTCTAGCCGGTATTCATCTGTCTACACTCGTGTGACCCACCTCAAAAAAGGCTCTTTCGTCAGGACTAGGTGTGCTCGTGCTTGTTTTGTTAATCTGTTTTATATGCCCAAGTTTTCATGGTATGATATAAGTGCACAACCAACTAGAATGGTAGGCCATGACACGAGTATCATGTCATGCATGTCATGTACAACACTCATGGATTAAAACGTGGCATCATAACAACTGGCACGAGCGATTTCTCTGAATCGCAATGTCTCATCGCATTGAAACTTTGTGCTAAACATAAAATTCTCTTACGTAAATGTTAGAGCTGAAATTTTATCATGTGAAATGAAACTGGAGGCGGTGGTAACAAAGTATGTGCCTTAGTTAGGTCTAAATTATGGCATTTCAATCTGTATATTTAATTGTTGCACTTCAAGCCATACAGCCCTATTACAAGGTGCTTCAATGATGCCATGATGCTCATTTTGTCAGTTCATGCTATATGCTGTAAAATTCTGAGATGTCTGTCGTAAATGCATAGGATAAATGTCGTGAATAGTGAGTATTGAAGTCATATCCTAACCTGAATTACCTCAATGTGCACAACGTACCATAAATGGAATATTCCATGCTATGTATTTATACTTGTACTATAGAAATAGTACAAGTATAACAGCCAAGTATACGGCCCGGTCAACCAACCCTGCTTGATCTGGCTGCTGTTGTGTATTGGTTCATAGTGTTGGCCAGCTAATATTGGCTAGCGCTGCCTAACTGTTGGATGCACCCACCTGTCCAGTATACACAGAGACTTTAATTCACCTTGTTATAATGGCGGTCTTAAAGCCAAACAATGCAGCATAAACAAATTCTTGCTTACTTCCTTGCATGACATTATCTTCCACAGTGTGTGGGATCTTCCAAATTTTGTTTTAGTCTCTCTACTTCAAATGCAGTTTCACTGGCTGGTTGGCTACTTGTTTGCAATGTTGCATCAAGTCCCACCCCTTTTTAGACTTGAGCCTAGGCTGGAACAGCTCAATCTTGGGCTAAGCAGAGTTGTATATTCCTATTTTCAAACCACACTCACCCAAGAGCTAATAATCTTTACAAAAAAATGAACTTAATATATTAGCTCTGCTTTGAACAGCGATGCAGTTGGCTGTGGTTTTACTTTAGTAAACATAGTTTACAAGGACTCAAAGGCATGTTTGACTTGATTTCACATAGGCTATGCACCATGTTTCATTAGAAAGTTAGGCTTCTTCCTCGCTTTGTAATTGTTCCCTCTGCTGCTGTAGCTTGGTGTTCTTCTGCACTTCGTTAGCTTTTTTATAACATGCTAATCTGGCCTTTCTTGCTCCAATGTTGCAGCTGGCAAATTTGCCTTGACATTTTGCAGCTTGCCATTCAGGTATATCTACTAAAGTAAAACCTCATTGATGCAAAATCACGAGACGTGTGAAAAATTTTCTAATTAAGCGAATTTTTAATTATCAAAACATACAAAAACCGGGATACAAAAACTTTGAATTACTGAAAGTAATTGGAGATGGTCTTTTGCTGTGCCTTCTAGTTTGCGGCTCCAAAACTTAGGTTATCTAGCAATACTCAGTCCTAATTTTGCCGCAGACCTGCGGAAGCGGCTAGCCCGGCTGCTGCCAGCGCAAGTAGTAAAGTGTAAGAAACGCCATTCTTTTCGTGCATAGCGTCACATTGTAAGCACAGCAGTGCGAACGCTTCAACACTTTTCCTCAAATATACTTCATCCAGAAGATCTTTTTCGCAATTCCTTCCACCAGCACATCTGCATTTGTAGGCCGTGCCCTTTCAAGCTAGTTAGTGCGATAGGACTTCAATGCGAATTTTTTCATTTTCACGTGCTTTTCATTAAATGTCATCTCATCTACTGGTCGAAGCAGCCACAATTCAGTTTTAATACGCGTAGCTCTCAGTAGCAGGCCCATCACTGATGGTCCTCGTATCGGAAGGCCCACTGTGAAGTAGCTACGCCATGTTACATGTCCACCCTTTGCCTTCCAGGGTCAATAGCTGACGGTTAAAAAATATTAAGCATCACAGTATCACATTCATTGCTTGGTTCTAGAGTGTGGGCAGCTGTGTCGCTCAAAAGGCGTAGTCGCTGGCACGTGATATCTTGAGGCCTCATGAGGCAGCTCGTGAACTTTTGCTATTATTGTCTACTTCGCATTTAGAAAACTGACAGCACGAAAACCGCTTTGGCCCTTGGAGTTGTCATATTCTTTTAACCAGCGTTCTTTTCAGTTGCGTGAGATCAGAGCCAGAAGATACAGTGTGTTAGTTGCACTTGAGCTCTTATAAGTCTATGCAATACCAACTAATTGTATTGTTATATGAGGTAAGGCTTGACATCATCTGCGAGGAGCACTTTAGCGTCGGGGTTGCGATTTCGAAGGCACGCGCACTCACTGCACGCACGAGAAACTTGCTGCATTCGTTGTGTTTGAGACTTGTACAGCGCCTTGGGTGACTAGAGACCCCGGAACACCTCGAGCACACCTATATATGTACAACAAGAACAACACATATGAATGGACTTCCAAAATGGCGCAGCGATGGTGTTGCCGCCTTGCAGATCAAGGCTCAGTACACTTTTTGCAGTCTTTTTGCTTTGAGAGCATAACACGCGTTGAAGGGAGAATTGTGTCTCATGCCTGCCGAAATAGTGCGCATGTCAGCGATCGTGACCTCATAGTTCACAGTTTGTGCTCTAGAGCGAGCCCCTTTCCTTCGATTCCTTCATGCTTCTTAAAGATGTCCTTTTTGCTAGAGTAACAATCGATGGCAGGCCTGGCATGCGGGGTGATGTTATCACATATGCCTCCTGTGCAACGGTGATAGGTTGGCTATTTTCATCTCTGCTCTAGCTCTTTACAAGAGCCCCAAAATAATTATTCATGTTCTTTAATGTAAATGCAGCTTGCTTCTCCATTGTACTCCCTAGGTGTGAAGTTTGCTGCTCTAGAGTGTTCCCAGATGCAAAATTACTTGCTCCAAAGTGCTCCAAAACGAAAATTTTGCTCTTCTAAATGTTACTCCAGATTGTAATACCTCAGTAGCATCCCTGAAAATAAAGAATTGATTTTGCTAGAAAAAGGATAGTGTGGTGGAATTCGTGAATTATTCTTACTGGAAAACATGATCATTGAAGTTTCTGAACAGTTTTCCAAAGTAGGCATTGCAGGCAAGAATACCGTCAGCAGGGCAAGTGTGCAGATTGCCGAGCAACCACCAGTTGTAGGTTCGCGTACATCACAAATCCCATCAGACCGTCCTTTATTATTCCTTCCTATTCCCAAAAAGAATGGTTAAAGCATGACGCACTGATGTTGAGAGAAGCACGTGACATGCTGCCCGCGTGTCACCTGTGTATTGCAGTAAAGCATGTATTTTCCTGCAGATGCACGTTTCAGTTGATCACGAGGCTGCTGTGCTTTTACTTTATTGCTATTATAATTATTACTATTATTATTATTATTATTATTATTATTATTATTATTATTATTTTTGCCATAGTAAGGAAAGTTCAGCTGTCACTCATTAGTATTGCTACATTGCAGTGCCTCGTGGCTCCTAAATGTCGTCGTTTCCATGGATTTGCAGTGAATCGTGTGGTGCTGACTACCATTTGAAAATATTTATTTATTATTTATTTACAAGTACTGCTGTCCCATGCCTGGGACATTGCAGGAGCGGGTACAGAAAAATCAACGAAAGCACAGAAACAAACAATAGTGCGCACACATTTATGTGACTAACACATAAAATTTTTCCCGAACTCTACAGTGTTCAGTCTACGCAATGCACCATCAAGCTTGTTCCAAATTTCCACCACACGCGGAAAAAAAAGAGAATTTGAAACAATCCAAACGAGACCTGAAGGGTACAGGTTCAAAGCGTCTGTACTACGAATTGTACGCGCTGGTATATCAGAGAAAGATAAGGGCGCGTGAACCCGGGTCATTTTGTGTACAATCTTGTGCAACAAGATAATACTCTCACGTGTACGGCGGTGTTCCAGCGAATGAAGTGACAACAAATGAGCATGTGAAGACGGGGAGAAGTCCCGATCATAACGGTCAAAAACGAACCGTATAGCCTTATTCTGCACAGATTCTAACCTGTTTTTATCTTGCTCAAGATGATGCGACCAAACCACAGAGGCGTACTCGAGCATCGGTCTCACTAGTGTCTTGTAGGCAGCTGACTTACAATCTTTTGTCGAGTTTTTCGATCTTCGCTTTAAGTAACCAAGTTTCCTTAGAGCTTGACAAGTTATCTGATCAACATGTTTGCCCCATTTAAGGTCATGTGTAAAGGTGATGCCTTGGTATGTGAATTCATTCACATGTGCTAGGGTGGACCCATTGTAGTTATAACTGAAACTGAGAGGCTGTTTTTTATTTGAGAAAGTCATAGCTACAGTTTTCTTGTAATTTATGGGCATTTGCCACGTTGAGCTCCAATCACAGAATAATGAGAATACGTTGTTAAGGACTGACTGGTCTTGAAAGGTAGTAATGCAGTTATACAGTACACAATCATCGGCATACAGACGTATGTTTACAGGGGTTCCAGAGATGACATTAACAACATCATTAATAAATATAATAAACAAGAGAGGCCCTAGCACAGAGCCTTGCGGCACTCCGGATGTGATTTCAACAGGGGATGACTCCACCCAAGTTAACGCTGTAAAATATGGGACTGCATAAATCCATGAATTAAGTGGGATTTCTAACTGACTGAGTTCAATCTAATGAGATTTTACTATATATGATTGGATTCAACCTGTTTGCTTGCACTGAAGCGGTCACACAGACGGCCCAGCTAGCCCAGCTGGTGCAACTGAAACGATGTGACTGAGCAACTGAACGACCAAGCGTTGGTGAAGTAGCCATTGAAGTTTTGCATGGTTGCGTGGTACCGCAGTGATGGAGTTCTCAGTGAGCCATGCCGCAATGACTCTCTGCAGCAGATAATGTGGTGTCACACATGCTGTGGAAGCTCAAGGTCATTGAGACATGATGAATGACCTGGAAGACAGTGCAATAGAGCTTATGGACTAGGAACTTATTCACTTGTAAACACGTGTTATTTTGCCCATTTTTTGTGGAGCCTACAAAAAAAACTGGATTATGTTAAAGAACTTCTTGTTGAAACATTGTGTTCTTCGTTTGAAGCCATTGCAAATAGCAATAATGTATGCTCAGCAGTTTTGTTGTTCAGCCCGTTATTCAAAGACTAGGAAAAGTTTTGTTCTCTCACCCCAGGTACATGGAGCTTGTGCGCCATCTGCAGCTGGAGTATCGCATGGAGCCTGCTGGAAGCCATGGCGTCTGGAGTCTCGACGACTACCAGTTCTTGCCCTTCATCTGGGGCAGTGGCCAGCTCATTGGTAGGGCACTACGAGGGCAGAATTATGACAGGGCAGGCTTGGGGCACTTTACTGTGGACCCTTGATAATTCGCACTTGTTGTATTTTAAAGCCACTTAATTCAAACTGCTTGAGTGCCCAAATTCACTTAATTCATACTTATTGCTTGTCCATGCCTTAATATATCTGCTACCTTGTCTCTAGCTTAAAATGCACATCTAGCAGTTCTAAACAAAGCCATTTGTGAGCCTAAAAAGTGGCCAAACCAAATCGCATGCACCAACAAATTGGTGCTTTTTTTTTGAGAAAAAGGAGAGAGAAAAAAAAAAGAACAGTGTCCTTGGTCTATCACTTTCTGAACGCTTTTTAAAGTCATTTTCGCTGCTTTACAGAGGTTTCATACAAAGCATACTAAGATTTTGAAGGGGCTACTGTCACAAGAAGCAGCACCTTTTGTCTCTTAATTGTACATGTACGCACGCTGCGTAATAGGGAGTACCGACATGATTGATTACATCTCAAAACTTTGAGTCATTCTGAGCTCTCTATGGCACGACTGCAGTGCTAAAAAAAAATTAACATTACAGCCCAAATAAATATGTTGCCTTGAGTCCCATATTGCGAGAACTTCTGATAATTAAAAACAAAATCATAGGGTCCCCTTGAGTTTCAATTATTGCGAGCCTACTGTATTCGTAGTTTTCAAACTGTGGTGTAGTAAGTATGGCATAAGTGGAAAGCAATTAAAGTAGAGAAAAAGCAACTTGCTGATACTAAGTTTCTAGGTTCAGTCCCTCTGTATCTCTGTCGGAATTTTGAGGAGAAATTTGTTTTCTTCGTAATATCTGTTTCATTCTTGTGTGTCACTTCGGTGCACTGAGGTGTAGGAGCCAGCATTGTTTCTTTACTGCAGACCATCCAACTATCGTGCCCAAGTCATTCACGGCACCCGGCTTTCCAGAGGCACACTCGAAAGACTACATGTTCATGGGATGCATAGAGTTCATTAGCAAGGTGAGTGTGGATAAACGTGTCGTTGCCCTCTACCTCTCGTGTGCTTAAACTGGGCCGCTTCACCTGTTGTGGTGGCTTCATCATCATCATCATCATCATCAGTCTGACTACGTCCACTGCAGGACAAAGGCTTCTCCCATGTTCCCCCAGTTAACTCGGTCCTGTGCTTGCTGCTGCCAATTTATACCCGCAAATTTCTTAATCTCATCTGCCCACCTAACCTTCTGTCTCCCCCTAACCCGCTTGCCTTTGCTGGGAATCCAGTTAGTTACCCTTAATGACCAGTGGTTATCCTGTCTACATGCTTCATGCCCGGCCCATGTCCATTTCCTCTTCTTGATTTCAACTATTATATTCTTAATCCCCGTTTGTTCCCTTATCAACTCTGCTCTCTTGTCTCTTAAGGTTACGCCTACTATTTTTCTTTCCATTGCTCGCTGCGTCATCCTCAGTTTAAGCTGAACGCTCTTTGTAAGCCTCCAAGTTTCTGCTCCGTAGCTAAGTACCGGCAAGATACAGCTGTTATATACCTTTCTCTTGAGGGATAGTGGCAATCTACCTGTCATAATTTGAGAGTGCTTGCCAAATGTGCTTCACCCCATTCTTATTCTTCTAGTTACTTAATCTCGTGGTTCGGCTCTGTGGTTATTACCTGCCCTAAGTAGACTTAGTTTTTTACAACTTTAAGTGCACTATTACCTATCTCGAAGTGCTGCTCTCTTCCGAGGTTGTTGTACATTACTTTTGTTTTCTGCAGATTAATTTTAAGACCCATCTTTCTGCTCTCCTTGTCTAACTCCATAATCATGAGTTGCAATTCATCCCCTGAGTTACTCAGCAATGCAATGTCATCGGCGAAGCGCAGGTTACTAAAGTACTCTTCATTAACTCTTATCCCTAACTGTTCCCATTCTAGGCCCCCGAAGACCTCCTGTAAGCACGAGGTAAATGGCATTAGGGAGATTGTATCCCCCTGCCTTACACCCTTCTTGATTGGTATTCTGTTTTGCCCGCAGGGGCGCCTGCGCAAGTAGGCGTTTGGTGTGTAGCGACACCACGGACCCGAGCTAACGGGGGGGTTTCGGCTCCCTCCGACGCCTAGCCGTGCGTGGCTTTGCCGTGTCCGGGGAAAAGGGGATTCTGGGGGTTGAGCCGACGCTGGGTGATTGGACCTTTAAGGCCCCCCGGCAGAGGCAACACACCCCTTTGGCCTCGGCTTCACGTAGACGACACTCCTGGGCTGACCCACCCAGGGGAAATCGGCAGTCGCCTTTTTCTATCTCTCTCTGCCTGCATCTTCGTCTTTATCTCTCACTATCTATCTGTCCTGTCTTCTACTCTCTTCTGTTTACTTCCATTTTTTCTGGCGGCAAGGGTTAACCCTGTGCAAATAGCCTACCTTGGTCTAGGCGCATTGGGTTATGGCAGTGTTGTACGGCTGACGTCTGCAAGCTTTCAGCACCTGCAAACTTGCAGCGTCCCCTTGTTGGGCTCCGTGGTGGGTGGCCGGCAACGCTGCTGAACAAAAATAAGACCGGCATGCATGGAGCCTTCCCTCTTCTGTCTGATCGTACCGGCATAAAGTGGGTACGCACCGACGACATCAATTTCTTCAACCAGCCAATAGAAACTTTTCCCCACTTTCACGTCATTCACTGTGAAAAAACCAGAAAGCAAGCCAGGACCATATCTCCTTTCGTAGTTACCAGGTGTCTTACTGAAACTCTCGAAGCTGGATACAAAGTAAGCAAAATGGCTAGCGGAGACCTTCTTCTAGAAATTCGGGACAAAACACAATTTGTAAAGCTAGACAGCCTCTCAACGTTTGGTGACGTACCGATCACCGTAACACCACACAGATCTATGAACATCACTCACGGAGTGGTATTTGACGCAGACTTACTTGACTTGACCGAAACTGAACTTTTGGAAGGGTGGAAGAGCCAAAATGTCAATAATGTACAGAGAATTATCATCAGAAGAGATAATAAGGAAATACCAACGAAACACTTGATACTCACGTTTGCATCCAGTACACTACCAGATTCCATTCAAACAGGGTACACGAAAACATCTATCAGGCCGTATATACCAAACCCTCGTCGTTGCTTCAAATGCCAGAGGTATGGCCACGGCTCTAAAACCTGTCGTGGTCGCCAGACTTGTGCACAATGTGGAGTCCTAGGCCACGTGTCTGAGAACTGCAAACAACCGCCACACTGTGTAAACTGCGAAGGAAACCATGCCGCATATTCACGTTCCTGCACATACTGGAAAAAGGAAAAAGAAATAATTACATTAAAGGTGAAGGAGAACATATCATTTAAGGAAGCACGGCGAAGAGTCGCTCCATTCTATGGACCTACATACGCTGATGCAGCGCGTCAGGGGGCACTGCCGCATCAGCCTTCGCCACTCCTTCGGCCCGCGCATACGGAGCCGGCGGTTGTGGCACCTGCCCCCAAGGCGGCTGTAGCCCAGGCTACACCGCCTACTCCCAAACAGAGACCGGAGACTTCAGAGTCCTCGGGTCTCATGGTCTCGCCTCACCAGGCGAGGCCCGAAATCTGAACTAACAGCCCGCTTGTGCGGACATCCAGTGCCTCCGAGGAGGCAATGGATACGTCGGTACCCTTGGTGCCAAAAGAGCGGCGTGTCTCCTTGGAGCGCGCCAAGAAAACAAAAAAGCAAATAACAGGGCCTGGTGACGGCCCTGTTAAGTGAATTCAAATTCCCCATCTAAACAGCCACTCGCTTTTCGTACACACAGCACTATTTTACATTCACCATGAACACTCAAATTATACAATGGAACGTCAGGGGCCTTCTCAGAAACCTTGACGACATCCAAGAACTCTTACACGAACACTCACCAAAAGTGCGGTGTGTACAAGAAACACACCTTAAATCAAAACACACAAGCTGTGTGTACAAGAAACACACCTTAAATCAAAACACACAAATTTTCTTCGTAAATAAGTTATTTTTCGAAAGGACCGTGATGATGCCATGACATCATCCGGAGGTGTTGCCATCATAGTTAATCAAGGAATTGCATGCACACATTTACAAATTCAAACATCCCTTGAGGCAGTGGCTGTTCGAGCGGTTCTTTTTGATAAACTGATCACAATCTGCACTATTTACATTCCTCCTAGCTATCAGCTGCAAAAACGTGATTTACACTCTTTAATTGATGAACTTCCGGAGCCTTATGTTCTCCTTGGAGGCTTCAATGCGCATAGCAGGCTATGGGGAGACTCTCGTTGCGACGCGTGAGGTCGACTGATTGAACGATTCCTTCTCTCGTCGAACGCATGTCTCCTAAATAGAAAAAAACCAACCTATTATAATCTCGCACATAACACCTACTCCTCCATAGACCTAAGCATAGTATCTCCATCTCTTGTGCCTCTACTCCAGTGGAAAGTCGTCGGTAATCTGTACGAAAGTGACCACTTTCCCGTAGTTTTGAGCACAACTACAGCAACTGAGTGTCCACCCCGTGTTCCCAAATGACTCATAAACAGAGCCGACTGGGAACGGTTTTATACCATCGCTCATATAGATTGGAGTGACATATGTACTTTAAGCATTGATGTTGCTGTCGACTACTTCACTGCTTTTTTGATCGATGCTGCAACAAAATGCATCCCACAAACAAATGGACACCCAGTAAAACGGCGTGTGCCATGGTGGAACTCTGAATGCCGAAACGCGCGCAAACAGCAAAACAGAGCTTGGAGGCTGCTTCAGAACTCACCGACAGCTGAAAATCATGACACCTTCAAGAAAATAAAGTCTCAAGGCAGGAGAACGCGTCGGCAGGCCAGAAGAGAAAGCTGGCAGAAGTTTTTGTCAGGAATCAATTCATACACACAGGAGGCTAAAGTCTGGAACATGGTCGGTAGGATAGCAGGAAAACAAGTACACACACTTCCACTCGTGGACACTCAGGGTGATACCTTGGAAGATCAGGCAAACTTTCTCGGTGCACACTTCGAACAGGTGTCCAGCTCATCCCACTATACTGACACTTTCCAAAAATACAGAACAAGAATAGAAAAGCAGAAACTCGAACACAAATGCACTAGATCCGAGGCATATAACCAAGCCTTCAGTCTAGCTGAGCTGCGAATGTCTCTAAACTCCTGCAGTACTTCTGCCCCAGGTTCTGACCGTGTGGTGTATGAAATGTTAAAAAAACCTAGCAATCGAAACACGAAAAACCTTACTTTGTTTGTACAATGCTATCTGGTTTTCTGGCGCTATCCCTACCTCCTGGAAAGAGGCTATTATTATTCCCATTTTCAAAGAGGGCAAGGACCCTTCTTTACCCTCGAGTTATAGGCCTATAGCACTTACAAGCTGCTTGTGCAAAGTCTTCGAAAAAAATGATAAACTGCCGACTTGCACATTTTCTTGAAACAAACAATTTGCTCGACCCATTTCAGTGCGGGTTTCGAGAAAGTAGATCCACCACAGACCACCTTGTTCGTATCGAGGCACAGATCAGAGACGCCTTCGTCCATAAACAATATTTTCTCTCTGTGTTCCTCGATATCGAAAAGGCTTATGATACAACATGGCGTTTTGGAATTCTAAGAGACCTGTCCCACCTTGGCGTGCGCGGAAGAATGTTTCACCTAATCGAAAGTTACCTGTCAAACCGGACATTCCGTGTCCGTGTGGGCACGGTTCTTTCCCGAACATTTGTCCAGGAAACAGGCGTGCCACAAGGTGGTGTACTTAGCTGCACACTTTTTCTCATAAAAATGAATTCCTTGCGCTTGACCATCCCTCGCAATATGTTTTATTGTACATATGTCGATGACGTCCAGCTTGGCTTTAGGTCTTGCAATCTGGCAATGTGTGAGCGGCAGGTTCAGTTAAGTTTAAACAAGGTCTCCAAATGGGCAGAGAAAAACGGATTCCGACTGAACCCACAAAAAAGCATGTGTGTCTTGTTCTCTCCAAAGAGAGGCATGCACTTAGAACCCGACATTCGACTAAACGGTCAACGTCTGTCTGTTAATACAGAGCATAAATTCTTAGGATTAATCTTGGACAACAAGTTGACCTTCGTACCGCACATCAAGTATCTAAAAACAAAATGTTTAAAAGCCATGAATATTTTAAAAGTGTTGTCACGTACTAGGTGGGGTAGTGACAGGCAATGTCTCATGAACCTATATAGAAGCCTCATTCGCACCCGCTTAGATTATGGGGCCGTTGCTTATCAGTCTGCGACTCAAAGTGCTTTGAAGATGCTGGACCCCGTGCACCATTTGGGCATCCGCCTTTCTACGGGTGCTTTTCGCACCAGCCCCGTAGAAAGCCTTTATGTTGAGTCAAATGAGTGGTCGCTTCATCTGCAGAGAACTTACATGTCCTTTGTTTATTTCCTTAAGGTGAAAGCAGATAAGAAGCACCGCTCATACTCTACTATTAATGATTTGTCGAGCTACATTCTGTTTCAAAACAGGCCTTCGATGAGGCAGCCCTTCTCAGTTCGCCTGAAAAGTCTAGTTGAGGAAACTGGAGTCTCACTTGAACACAGTTTAATGGCTCCTGTAGCATATCCGCCACCTTGGCAATGGCAGACTATAGACTGCGATGTGTCCTTTCTTGAAGTTACAAAACATGCGCCTATTGCCCATATCCGAACATACTTCCTGGAACTTCAACACAAATACACACGTCCTGAGTTCTTTACAGATGCCTCCAAGTCCAACTGCTCTGTGTCCTACGCTGTTGTCGGCCCATCATTTTCGGATGCTGGCCCTCTACGTCCAGGCACAAGTATCTCCACAGCGGAAGCCTACGCGATACTTGTGGCGGCTAAACACATCAAGCAATTACAAATACAAAAAGCAGTAATTTATACAGACTCCCTCAGTGTGGTAACGGCTCTGCACAGTCTTAAAAAACAAAAAAAACTCTGTCCTCGTTTCACTTTACTTCATTTTATGCACACTCTACACACTCAATCAACATGTTGTAGTGTGCTGGGTGCCAGGGCACCGAGAAATTCAAGGCAACGTGAGGGCGGATCAGCTCGCTGCATCTGTCCACAAAAGCACTGCCCCTACACCCATATCAATCCCAGCCCTTGATCTTAAGCCGTCTCTCAAACGAAACCTCAGGGTATACTGGCAGAGCAAGTGGGATACACACACACAAAACAAACTACACATTATTAAGCCACACCTTGGTCATTGGCTGCCAGTATCAAAATCGGGTCATACGGAGGTAATACTAACGAGACTCAGGATAGGACACACATACACGACACACCCATATCTTTTGTCCGGTGGCGATCCACCATTGTGTGACAGATGTGGTGAAGCATTGACAGTCCTTCACATGTTAATTCAGTGCAAACACTTAGAATCTCTAAGAAAACAGCATTTTCCGTTACCCTACCGACAACATATACTTTTACACCCTGCAATGTTCGTTGGTAGGGAACCGCTTTTTAGTTATAAATCATTGTTAGCGTTTTTAAAAGAAATTCATAATTTTCATATCATATACCCGGGCATTCCGTAGCACGACCTCTCCAGAGAGGTTTTCGCTGCGGTGGCTACACAACAAAGCACTTGCCTCACGGCCCTTGGACGCAAGGGTACGAACGAGTGGGGCACTTGTGCTAATGCCATACATGTCCGCCATCGTTTTTATTATCACCAACTTTTGTCATCTATTCGCACCACACAGACCTTTCACGGCATGGTCATGATTTTATTACTTGTATGTTTTTACCCGCCTTACCGCGGGGAATTTTATGGCCCTTATACAGCCGCTAATCACAATCATTGTCCACATTCCTTATCCCATGAACTGGCGCTCTTTGGCCATCAAATGGCCCTTGCGCCAAAAACACCATATATTATCATCATTGGTATTCTGTTGCTTTCTTTATGAAGCACTATGGTAGCAGTTGATCTCCTGTAGATTTCTTCCAGGATGTTTATATATGCTTCATCAATGCCCTGATTCCTCAGTGTCTGCATGACTGCTGATATTTCTACTGAATCAAACGCCTTCTCGTAATCTATGAAGGCTATGTATAGTGGTTGGCTATATTCTGAGCATTTCTCTATTACCTGATTGATAGTATGAATGTGGTCGATTGTTGAGTAGCCTGTTCGAAATGCTGTTTGTTCCTTTGGTTGATTGAATTATAATGTTTTCTTCCTGAATTATAATGTTTTCTGTTAGCAATTACCTTTGTAAATAGCTTGTATACTACGGAGAGCAAGCTGATCGGCCTGTAAATCTTCAAGTCCTTGTCATCTCCTTTCTTATGTATTAAGAAAGGAGATGTATTGTATTAAGTGATGGTTTAGAAGCTTATTATGTATGTGTGTACTGTGCAACATCTAGCATGGTGTGGACTGTACAATGTAGTGGTGTTGCGTGGGTCATGACATGGTGCAGTCAGACACAATGACAAGCAACACTATGCAACGGACTCATGTGTCGAACTAGAGATGGCGACATTGGCAGTGGCTAAAGCAGTTAACATTTATCAGCATAGTAGCCAGCTTGGTTTCTCTCGAGTTGCGAGCACCACGACAGTTATTGGTGGGAGCATTCGCTATTTGTCGAGAGAGCACAGGATTACCGTTAACCCCCCATGGTGGGTACAGTAAAGGTTACCCCGTCCTCTTGAGGTCTCTGTTAGTGAACAGCTGTGAGAAATGAGCCAGCATCACTTCGCTAGTTTCCACTGCAGGGGGAGGGGATAGTGTGAAGAAAAGAGCTTCAAATGTGAGGAAAACAACTGCGAAGGATTTGGGCATTCGCACACTTGGCGCTCATGATTTTCTTCACTATGACATCCAGGCAGTCTGGCCTGGGTCTTCAGTCAGTAAAGGTGTTTTTCTTGTATCTTCCTTCGCGTTCTCTCTAAGGGATTTGGTCAAGCACTCACCCTGAGCCCAGAATCTATACATTAAAGGAAGCCTTTTTTCCCATGGATGATTTTACTGTGCTAATTGTATGCTCCCCCCCCCCCCCCCCCAAAAAAAAAGGGTAAGCACACCTTCATAACTGATATTGTTTGTTGATGTCGATTTCTGTATAAGACGGCTATGTCTCGGCAGTCAATCCTTGGCAGCTGGGCCTGCTAGACCTAGCACCATCTGCCCTGGCTACAGCACGCACATTTTGTCTTCTAGTTTTCATCTCAAAAGCATATTCCTCTGGCAGCCTTCCCCTCACTATGAAATGCACTGGAGTGTCTGCATTGACTAAAGGGAAAAATCTCTTTTGAGCATAAGAATTAAAAAAAGATTTTACATGTTGCACTATGGGCTCTGTATACATTTATAGAAATTCAGCGGCGGACATAGGACACCTTCATACTACAAGAGCTCCTGGAGACCCATTAATATGATATTTGAGGATAAATACATTTGTGGCCTACGCTGTTCTCAATACCTAAGTGCAATGCAGGCTGGCTGTGCCGAACAGGCAAAGCATCCTTAAATTACAACTAGTGCACCCGCAGATACAAGTCTACTCAAGCTCCTTGCCACTAACAACACACCAGCACTAAATAAAGAAAAATATATTTTTTATGTACTATGTCAAAAATAAACAAAAAACTGCACAAGATCTGCATCTTTTTCTAAGATATTATGGAACTATTGTGCAAGTATATTGAGCATTCTTTGTCCTTCCATTTCTCCGTTACAGGTGAAGACTGGCCCATTCCACGAGCACTCCAATCAATTGTGGAACATCAGTGGAGTGCCTAGTTGGTCGAAGGTCAACGCGGGGCTCATGAGAATGTACAAAGCTGAGGTAACTACTGGACACGAAACTGATGCATCTCTTTTGGCAATCCCTTGATGTGGTTGCACGCCAATGTTTCTCCAATTTCGGACGGTTCATCTAGAATAGGATAGTGCCATTAATGTAGACAGCGAAGCCATGCACATGCATAAATTTTCCGCATCACTATTGCTTAGCAAGTTAGTTGCAGTGGGTTTTACCTAGTGAAAGTGGCGAGCATGTTTAAACTCTCCATGAATGATGATGTGACTTCCCACTTACAACATCTGCTCATTGGTGTTCTTGTGATGTTTTGGTGTTACAGAGCTTGTGAACTGGGCTAGAAAAATTCAACCACTGGAAAGAGGCCTAGAATAATTCTTCCAAAGTCCGAGTTTTGCTGAAGTGATGTCGTTATTCAGAAGTATATTCCATAGTTAGCTTTTAGGAACTGTAGCTCAGTGTATAATGGGTGGAGCATGTGCGTTTCCCTCTCCCTGATGACTTGCACATTCATCTTGGCATGCCTGGTTCAGATGTCGAGAGTTTTCCACAGGATTGCACTTCTGGTAACCTTTCAAGAAGAATTTCTGGCAAAGCTGCCTGTTATCATTGACAGATAAAGAGAAGTGGGCAGGCATGACCGCTCGTAACTAACTAGTAGCCTGCAGCCCAGTAGCGTCTGTCAGCTGGCCAGGATTTTTGAAGACTAAGGGTTGTGACATATGTCATCATCCTGGCTGAGGTGCTCACGGTTTCATGGCCCACTTGCAAGATGAGTTTGCCTCTGTTGCGATATCAAGGTTTCTAAGATCCTTTTTGTCTCTACCAAAATGGCGTCCACAATCTTTACTTTCCCACGTTCTCTTTTTTTTTAAGCTCTAGAGTGGTTGCTGCATGAAGGACAGAAACCAGAGTGTCCAACAAAATGCCTTTTTCATCCTCCATTCCCATCGGAGCTCTCACAAGTGACACCAGCTACAATCAATACATACAGTTGAGCCCACATATAACGGCCCCACTTAAAACGAACTTTCGCTTAAAACGAACAATATCGGCGTGACCTTAAAGTATACATTGGCTCAATGGCACAAAATCACACTTACAACGAATGTCTCCAAGCGCCGCTGATTGTTTCCAGCGAATGGAATTCGGCGGTCTGCCGACTTCCCGGGAAACCAATTTCGACCACCGATCGGGCATCGGCGTGGTGCCCGTACATTCTTATTGCTAAACGCCGACCCTGCCTCCGCGCCTTTCTAGTTACCGCTCTCCCCGACCGCTTTTTTTACGCACCCCTCCATCCTTTTGTCCCCCCGCTACTCTGAGCATTCCGCATCGCCAGACGAGGCCGTGTTTTCACACTGCCACCGATCTTTCGAAGACTGGTTGGCCATCTACCCCGTTTTGGATCGCTGGTACTGTCATTGACGTCGCCGGCCTGGATTGACCAGACCATTTGCCGACAACGTCGGCCATCGACTGTATCAGATAGTCTGCGTCTAGTGCACACGCGTACGCTACCCCACCGTCTCTGATAATTTGTGATTCCTTTCATGTTTAGGACTTCTTCTCGCTCGATTCGCACTCGGCTCAGCATGCCTTCTGCGTGCGTGCGGAAGCGCGACAACGGCTGTTAATTTGCGCGGAACGAATCGCGAAATATCGAAGTTCGTGAGGCCACGCAAACCCGCCAGCGCAACAAAACGATTTTTTCACCACGGCCACCGATTCTTCGAACACCGCTGCGGGCAGCAATTGAGGCGGCCGTGCACTCTTTCCAAGTTTTTTTATGTGCGAGTTTCGCGGACCTTTCAAGCAAGCTACACAACCTGCCTCCTTCCCCTGTGTTTTGGTTTTCAAGGTTGCCCTCCCGCCGCATCCTCCCCTGTCTTTATCGCAACTCCTTGCCCTTCTCTCGCAAGTCTGCTCTCCTCTCTTGATCACAATCTCTTCGTCCGTCTCCACCGCTCCGCGACGCCCGCCACGCTGGCTCGAATTAGTTTCGTTTTCTTACTGGAAACGGGCGCAGAGCTGTTCCACGCGTTCTGGCATGTCTGTCGCGTGTGCACATCTTGCTCGCTCTTGGTGTGCGCGTGTGGTCATGATGGCCGGCAGGAGGACTAGCACGCTTTTTTTTTCTGCCGCTCAACAAAACGTCCAACCTGTGACCGCTTGGCTTGAGCGTAATCTGCACGTTAGGTGCTGGGTTGCAGAGCGCTTGCTCATAGCTGTTGACCACCTGGCAGCCAACTTGCCACTTCGGGCGTTCCGGTATTCAGCTGTGGAGATGGTGAATATTTCGTGGGAGGTGTGACGGCTACATGTGCACGAAACTGTTATCGCGGGGCCGACTTCATCGACGTCGGGCCCGATGCTGAGCCTGAAACTTCCAAACAGTACTACTGCAGCGGTGATTTGTGGCAGCGCGTCGTCGACTCCGACCTAAAAGAGCCGGTGGGACATCTGTTGTGTTTTTTTAATTACGGCCGATGATGATGCCGACACTGCGAAACTGTGCACAGATTGGGGCATTGTGAATGAAGTACGTGGCGAGAGCGATTCGGAGGAAACGGATTGCGAGAACAACGAAACTTTGGAGTCAGTGCCTCATGCAGCTCATGCCACGGGCCTCGGCAAACGAGCACCCTGCCGTTTTAAATGAACTCGAGACTACCCTTATCGCAACTGCTATTCAAAACATGTGCATCACGGACTTTTTGGGGCATAAAAAGTTGGTGTTTTCACTCGCAACTTTTTTTAAAAAAGCTGTGTTTCATTTACTACGAACTTCGGGATACAGCGAACGGATGTCGCGTCACGCTCAAGTTCGTTATAAGCGGGCTTGGCTGTATATCGTATTTAGTCGCATAATAGACACACTTTTTTCCAGAAAGTCCTGCTTCAAGTTCAGGGTGCGTCTATTATTCTGGGTAAAACTTTCGAAAATTTAATTTGTCGCCAAAGTCATGAATGTCCACACTGCAGCTGAGACAACCTTGTTCATAGGCTACACTAGCGCAAGGCGTGTTGAACATTCAGTCTCGTGTGTCTGAAAATTGGAGCATGCGATGCGGTATAGTTTTAAATTTCTAAAAATTAACATAGAAAGACCCGCGTTGTCAAATAAATGAACGCGAAAGAAAAAACTATGAATAGAAAGTGCCATCGTAAAAATTCGCTGATTACATTTCAGGCCACCTTGATTATGCACATTACCAGCATCGAAATTTTCTGCACTGAACGGTACTGATTGTCCGATTTCATGGGCTTGGATCCCATATATAAGACATTGCAATCGAATCGCGAACCATCATTCGACTGTTATAATGGCCACCCAAGCCCCCCTTTTTTTAGTGGAGCCACTGCAAATAGTTAATTGATTACGTACAAAACCGCAACTTTGATCGCTCGCGGCTGCCGTAAAAAAGCATCCAACTCTAATTAGGCCTAGCCTACCATTCAGCATGTTGTCACCGAAAGTTTGTACAAGACGGCATGAAAATTGGGCGCCGAAAAGATCGCACTCGAGCACTGATCCAAGAGCAGCGAGCATGAAAGAATGTTTAGGTTAGTGACCGGGAAATTAACAGCGACAAAAGTCGGCCGAGCTTGTGCAAGTCCGCGTAGTAGCAGCAATGGCGAAAGCTCGCATCAAAAAGCCAAAAGACTTTTAAATTTGTCGATGAAATGGCAAACGTGATAACGACGATGCTTTTTCCGACTGGAAACTCGAAGCACAGGTGACAAGGGCACGATCTAACATTCTGTGCAGAGCGTGCGCGGCCGGCTAGCGGCCAGGGCCTGCTGGCGCAAGTGCAAAAGTTACTCAACAGTTACTAAAATGCCCAGGCAACTGCCCTTCTTCTTCAGCGAACCCGCACGCCTGACGCAGCGCTGCCGTGGTCTTTTTTCTTTTCGTTTTCCTCGCTTGAGTTAACTCAAGAGGGCGTTGATTTGCAAACAAGTAAATACGGTTCAGAACTGTTCACGACAAAGTTCAGTGTGCGCCTATTATGTGAGTGCGCCTTTTACGTGACTAAATACGGTATTGCTAATTATAAATCAGGATGAATTTTTAGGCTACTAAGCAGCTTTCTTTCTGAAATATCGATATGGATTCTTTTGCGGCAGTGAGTTGTAATCAACTGGTTGTAAATTTTTTTTTCTTATTCTGTACCAATGGTGCTGCATCCTTTCCCGCATTTGTGTGACTGCTTTCAATGTCATGTCAAGTAGAGCACACCGCTTTATGGCTTTCTTTTATGGTCCTAGTTAATTTGATGGGAGCTGTACATCAGTCACTAGTTTTCATGTTGCGAATTGGCATGTGATTTGTGGAACCCTTTTTGTGCCCAATTGCTTGTATGTGCGTGTTATGTGGGTACGTGCCGATTCATCTGGTACAAGGCATCGGTCGTCATGCCAAGCTTCGTTTCTGAAGAAGCGTCCATAATTGGGTTGGCAGTGGCGCGTGCTTCCTTGAAAATTTCACAGACAGTGAACACGTGTCTGGCAAAATATTGCTCCTGTCAAGCTTGAGGGGCAGTTTGGGTCTCTGATGTCCCAAACCACCCTTGGCTATTCGTGAGACAACACATTTGGTGTTTATTTTGTATTCTAAATAGCTCAAAGGCATTACAAAAAAAAGGTGCATGAACAGGTATGAGTGATAATGGCTTTCTCCAAGTTTGGGGGGGTTACATTGCATGGGTGGAAGACTGAGCGGAGAATACTTCAGTCAAATCTAGTGATTTTGTGCGAACTTTGCTGTCGAGGTGTTAAATTGAAGCACTTTATTTTCAGAGTGGTGGGGAAGGCGGCCAGCATTGTGACGTTAACTTTTTGTAAACTTAGAAGCGATGAAACAAATGGTTTTTTTACAGAAATGTTCAATTGAATATTGGATGAATGTCATAACCTACCTATATGTAAGAGCATACAAGCAGCATATACCCGTATTTACTCACATTTTCCTCGCACCTTTTTTGACGGAAAACCGATGCAAAGTAAGGGGTGTGAGAATTACG